ATGACCATTGGTTAAAATCGATTGGTTGTAAGAAATCCGCTTCACACTATTCACATGGATATTCTGATGGAAAACTAATAGGTAGATTTCATTTCATTTGTCATAGATTATTGTCATTTTTTCTCGAAATTACATGATGACTAATAGTTGTAGATCGGAATCCTCGCTTTGTCTGAATCCATTCGGATAGCCTAATGGTATCACAAGTTATCACACAAAAAGATACGATAGGTGGTTACCTGTATTGAATTCAACAATTGCTTTTATCATATTTATGACATCTTACTTCTATTAGATAACAATTGTACAGGAATTTAGATAACCGAAATGAGATATGCACTCAAGTAGTTCGTCTTAAACACCAACTAAATGGGTTAGAGAAAACAAAGCAATTAGCCAACAAACTGATTATTAATAAGGAATAAAAGCCATCGTTAATTACGCATAATATCCAATTCAAATTAATCAGATAACAAGTGATTGCTGAAAAGTCAAAGTAATAAATACGAAACCAATATCCTTTTACATCTACGTTCGACATCTCCCTCAGCAAATACTAAAGGGTCTTTGGGAAGTATGAAATTTTTGATAGCTAAAATCTTTTTTGGCACATTTTTAAAAATCTTTGGTGTTAACATATGACGTATTTTAATTTGAGACTTCTAATCAGTACGATACTGAGTGGAATACTTATCATGTCTTACTATAATTATGTTACAACTCAACCTATAGGTTGGAATCCAATCTATAGCATTCTGCAATCTTATTTTCCAATCTACATAACACAATAATCAGTCGTCTTCAATCTCAACTTGATTACTTATGAAACATTTCACTCTGACACATTTGTTGGTAATTGTTTCTCTTCATTTCTTTGGTTGACCCCTTCTTTGCGTTGAGATTGAATTTGTGTCGATGTCTATCGATTGTCAGGCTACCAGAAATTCTCTAGCATTCATAGGGTTTCCCTGATCTAAAACTTCGACGTGACGCCGATCGAGCTCACGTCCATAGCTATCCATGAGTAACCCGTTTATCGTCCCATTGCCGGTCTATTTTCTGAATGCATAGGTGAAGAGAGTGTCCACTTTGTTCAATGTAATTTTCTTCTGCAGATGGTACGGTTAATTGTGTAGATAATTTATCTTTTACGGTGTTGTATCTCCTTCGGTCTGGGTAATTTGGAATGAGGTGAATGGGTTGATTTGTGGGGGACATTGGCTCTTAAGGGCTTCAGAATCCTTGTGGTGGTTTCTGAGACATTTTTCACAGACGATCTATTTCTTAGTTTCCAGGATTGATTTTTTGATAGTATACTGACTCGTTAAGGAACTTTAGATATCTCTGAGGTATCCATTGTTATGAAAGGCAGGGATGAGATTCTTCGAGTAGTCACAGTGCAATAGCAGTTTCAGCTCTTTTAAATACTGTTTGTACACAACTCTGAGCGTCGTGCTGAGTTATTATTGTTGTAGTTAATTATTTGATCAGTAAGGCTTTACTTCTTGCATACTTGTTTTTAAAGCTGCTGTGTTCGTCCTGTTGGTTAAAACATATGAAAACGAGCTTCTGTTTTGTGATCCCTCTCCTCTTGCAAATTTGATGTCATCGAAGATGTTAATCAACTGATGAATATTTTGGAGTCTACCTCACTTCGGGATAATGGATGAATCATCCACGTAATGTACTAAAGCCTTCGGTTTGATTATTGGTAGAAGTGTAATTAGCCATTATATATATATATATATATATATATATATATATATATATATATATATATATATATATATATATATATATATATATATATATATATATATTGGAGTTACTTGATCTATCTGTTAACCTGAATGTTAAATTGGAAATATGTCGCAAGAAACAGATCTATGAATTCGACCAAACTCAGGCGCTGTAATGTTGAGTATTCTGTGAGTTATTCCCTGTTATTTTCCTACAATATGCAATGGAAGGATTAACTGACGATCTTAGGTAAATATTTACGGATACATATATAGGGAATAATCGATCGCTAGCATACAACAGACACTAGATGAAGGTATGAATTTGCGAAAGGTAACACTTTGCCTTTATACCCATGTTCTACGTTTTCTTTTTTCTATACTTTAACATAGACTATTACGATCGAACAGCCAATCCCTCTCCAAGTTTTGTGAATCCGAATCCATGGGTTAATTCTACAGATTTAACTCTACAGGGCTGATACAAGACAACAGTCCAGCAGTTATACTGGTCAAACTTATCAAAGATCCTATTCACTTTTCAATTAACAAGACTGTATTAATGTTAATTGTTGATTAGATCACTTTCGAAGTTTCACTATTCACGATAAAATTTAAGGCAAAGGTTACCAGTAGATTTTGTCAAAACCAGTTGGGCGCTATGAGAATTTCATGGTTCCTTAATTAAGTAGATATTGCGTTAAATCCTTCACAATCTTTACCCTTAATTACAATTAAATATTGTAGTATGTTCACAATGAAGTTGCAGTTCTTCGACGTGTTCGAACTCATTAGTTCAGTATATCTCACATATATTTTCAAGATTTGATTACGATACTTTGGGGGTATTTTAACCTTGGGTTGGATTACTCAGTATGCTGATACATTCTGACAGAATGGTCAGTGATAGGTAGTGGAAAGCTTGAAACATACATTTATTTAAATCATTACCAGGTATATTCTAGCAAACCTTCCTATTAGTCAAGTAATATGTTCACTTGTAGAATTCTTTTGAAATTTGAATGTATCCATGATAATGTATCTTTGTCAATTGGTACATAATTGACTTTCTCACACGAATGGTGTTAGCCAACACTAACAGCACAATTTCCATAAAGTACTTTCTTTTTGACCAACATTGAAGAACAACGAAACAGGTGTGTAGAACACTTCAAAGAACTCTTGAATCGACCAGCCCCACTGAATCCACCCAACATCGAAGCAGCACCCACGGACCACCTAATCAATGTTGGCCCACCAACAATTGAAGAGATCAGCATGGCCATCAGACAGATCAAGAATGGCAAAGCAGCAGGATCAGACAACATTCCAACAGAGGCAGTGAAAGCAGACGTAGCGGTAACTGCAAGGATACTCCACATTCTCTTCAGCAAGATTTGGGATGAAGAACAAGTATTAAGAGACTGGAAAGAAGGACTTCTGGTCAAAATACCTTAGAAGAGGCGATCTCAGCAACTGTGATAACTACAAGGGCATCACTCTTCTCTCAACACCAGGAAAAGTCTTCAACAGGGTGTTGTTAAACAGAATGAATGACTCCGTAGATGCCCAACTTCGAGACCAACAGACAGGATTCTGTAAGGATCGATCGTGTACAGATCAAATCGCAACACTACGGATCATTGTGGAACAATCGATTGGATGGAATTCATCACTCTACATCAACTTCACTGACTACGAGGAAGCATTTGATAGCGTGGACAGGACAACACTACGGAAGCTTCTTCGACACTACGGCGTACCTGAGAAGATAGTCAATATCATACGGAATTCCTATGATGGATTAAACTGCAAAACTGTGCATGGAAGACAGTTGACAAACTCGTTTGAAGTAAAGACCGGTGTCAGGCAAGGTTGCTTACTCTCACCGTTTCTCTTTCTCCTGGTGATCGACTGGATCATGAAAACGTCAACTTCTGAAGGGAAGCACGGGATACAGTGGGCATCTAGGATGCAGTTGAACGATCTAGACCTCGCAGATGATCTGGCTCTTCTATCGCAAAGGCAACAACAAATTCAGGAAAATACGACCAGTGTAGCGTCAGACTCAGCAACAGTAGGTCTCAATATACACAAAGGGAAGACCAAAATTCTCCGATACAACACAGCATGCACCAATCCAATCACAATTGACGGAGAAGATCGTAAGACAAGCTTTCACATGGAATCCTCAAGACCAAAGAACACATTACGCCGGGCAATGGAGACAGACATTAGAAAAATGAACAAGAATTGGATGGAACTAGAAAAACAGTTCCAGGACAGAGTTGGTTGGAGAATGCTGGTCGGCGGCCTATGCTCCTTTAGGAGTAACAAGCGTAAGTAAGTACTTTCCTTTTGATTCTCGATTTTTCAGTTTGGGAAAATGATGGATCAGGAGAGTTTGTCGTTAATAATTCAGGAGTTTTAGTTGCGATCGTAAGGTAAGGAAGTTAGGTCCGATAGAAAATTACTATATAAACACTGTAAACGTTGTATAAAGCTTAGTTCAGTAATGTGATGTTATCATGTAAATAATACTTTAGATTATGATAAGGTTTCTACTGTTGATGGAAGTTGCATCTAATATTAGTTGATTTTCTTCCGGAATTCCTAAAACTTTCTGTGTATCATACGGTCGTTATTCAATGTTGCTATTGGTTCTGAACTCTGGTTTTGGTATGGCATGCAAAATTGAGTAAACTGATTAGCCAATAACAGACGTGTTGGAAGTTGATGGCTGTGTAAAATAAATCATACTGAAAGCGAATCGGATTGTCGAAATTAACAGCATCATCAAGAACTTAGTAGACTCACTACTCAGCTGGTTAGATATCCTTAATCACATCGGGAGCATAGGAGGAGAAAGCAGTTAAATTTCCATGTGAGTTATCTCAGTTAAGAAACACAAACGATTAGTGGAAATTGAATTAGATAACGAAACTTCAACTCAGCAGATTAGTGCAGTACCTACACAAACACGGCTATATATCAATCCAAAATGAACTGAAGGAAGCTCTCATCAATTATAAGCGTTTCCTAAATCCAGCTGAGGTACAAAATACAGGTGATGGGTGGGTTTCCTAAATTTACATCGAATAAACTTCTTTTGGAACCTACGTTAGTATGTAAACATCAAATGTAACGAGTCTCACTATGACGAATAATTTCATTACGGCTACAACAAAATTTACGTTGAAAACAATTTTGCAGAGGTAGTTATTGATCAGGTAGAAAAAAATTGATTGGGTAAAGCAAGTCATCCGTCCACAAAATGAAAGAGTCAACTTTTGAATAGCGGGATTGTAATAAATATTGATGCACTACACAATCATATGAGAGTATTCTTATGGAGAAATTTCTTCGGTCGTGTGGGAATCAAGATCAACCATTTCGAAATGTTATTATCAGGCTGAAAGAATGACTGGGAAACTAGATTTTCTCTCCATTTAATAACCTACTAATCGGATCCGCAGTGAGGAATACGCCTTACTTCAGATTTTAAACTTTTGATATTCATTTGTCGTGATTTCATTAGAATAAAGAATACAATTATCGTTTTATGCAGTTTGTAATGCATAATATTCAACTAAACGAAGAACTGTGAATGCCAGACATTATTTTGTAGTAGATATGTAAGATCTATTTAGATAAACCTTCATTACAATAAACGCGAGTGGATTAAAATCTATGATGAAACTAGTTAGAGAAGTCGAATATTACATAAATCATGATGAACAACATGCGTTTATGTACACATGTATGATGTAAATATACTTATGTATAGAACTTAAGTTGAAGTAAGAACAGCGACAAAGTAAATCAGAGTGAAGTAGTCAAAAATGAAACCGTAAGTAAAATAAACCAATACATTAAGCAGAGTAACTGATACAAGTTAACACTAAAAAACTGTATGTACTTATAGAAGTATTTGTATGTTGAGAAATATTTTTGTAAAGATAAGATTAACCAGGGTTAGTAGTGAAAACAGATCAAAGTGGTGAGGCTGTCACCTCTGGGATGAAGTTTCGCACTCGAACAAAACGACAGGGTGGGAAATTTTGGTTGGTTAGTTCTAACACGGTGGTACTTTCACTTTCACTGGATCTGATTTGGAAAGAAACCATTAGTAATAACAAAGATGTGGTTAGATTTATAATTACGCACACCTCAATAAAGTACAGAAAGATAAACTAATAAAAACGGTTAACAGCACAGGTAACATGAATACTGTGTTTAGAAAGATAACTATGATTGAGTACCTTACAAAACTAACGATTGTATATCATAATCACAGTATAGCTTATATAGAAATTATGTACAGTATACTTGTTGTTTGCTATGTAGTACTAAAAAGAATAGGAATTAGAATTATTTGTTGACTGTTTGAAAACATGGGATTAAGATCATTTGGCATTAAGCATACGAAGTGTCATAATTACGACGGTACGGTACTAGTTTCACTTATTTCTTATCCATTTATTAACCTTGTTTTGTTCCTTAGTAAAAACAATACTCCATAAATCCCACTTTATTATAAAATCCATATATAACTAAAGAAAATAAAGTTGTGCATCCACATCAATTATTTCACGCTTACAAAAATGAAATTACCAAAAAAAACAAATTTAACTTGTTAAAGTGAGTTAGGTGAATTTGAAACTTCATATTTAGTAGCAAATTTAAACTCCACCTGCCCAATTTAATTTGAAAAGTTGAGTATAATTATTAACTCTCTCTCTCATACACACACAAAGTAGCTTAAAGTCAGATACATGCATCTGCTACTTGGTTAATGGATTGCTAGTATTATTATTAGTCAGTAATCTAGACGCTTTTGCTTCGAGTTCGGTTGCTAATAAGGACTTTATTCAACTTCTTAATAATTATTCTTGAAAAAAATTCAACTAGTTCTTATAGGTTAATATAAGCTAGATAAAAAAAAACATTACTAGAATCATTTTACTTACTTATCAAAGGTATGGATAACATACGAATCCCACAGGAGCTGATTGTGTAGACAACCTTTTTTGTTACCGATTTTAAATTTCTGCAATCCAAAAATATATGTAACTTAGACAAAAGTATCCATTAAGAATATTGATTGAACAGTTACTGAAAGCTAGACAATACTGCTTACCAGTTTAGTGCTACAGTATATGATTGAATATATCAACGAAAGATTTCATTTGAACATTGCATGAGGATAATTTTATATAAGAACAGATCCTGTGGTTAATGGGAAGTAAACTAGCACCCACTCTTATATACAGTTATTCCAAGTTGGCCGTACTATCAAAAAATATCGGTTGATTGAAAAAAGTAATGAGAACTTGAGAGTAATGCCTAAAAATTTTGGTAACAGTGATACACTGGATAGTAACACATGAAAAATACCATTGACGGATCTATATGCATTAGACGTAAGGGATGTTTTTGCCAAGACAAATGTTTACATGGAAGATTTCCCATTGTGTAAAACGAGAGGCTGCGTACTGATATACTCTGAAATTTGTTGACCAAGTTTACTAAAATAAGGGCGCGTACAAAAGCACATAGATCAACGTAAATTTTACTTTGAAGACACAATTTGATTTATCTAATTGTGTAAATTCAAATAGTGTGCGATATCGCACAACTAGCATAATATCGATCTATTATCTATAATCTACAACCAGTTTGATGTGTGTTGCCAACTCGTTAAATTTTCTTATATGCTACTTCTGAATTCCTGCGACGAACAGTTTGATATCCAGTTTATTCTGGTTGTATTCCTCGTGTAGAGCGTCAATCAATTTTTATATGTTCGGAGGAGCGGGGTTATAGTAGGTTGTTTAAGGTTAATATGCTACCCCTCTATTAGATCTTTCACGAAGGAATTGTAGACGTTTTGTAGTAACACTTTTGGGACCTGTATCGCTGCAATTTTTGCATCTTGTAAATCTTCTGAACCAGATTCAAAATAATTTTAATTGTTGAGATCATCAGTCAACTGAAGCTAGACCACCATGGAAAACTTGGAAGCACTAGACAGCCGTTTCGTCCTACTGTGGAACTCCTCAGCAGTGCGCATCCACGATCCCGCCTCGCGACCATTCTCTACGTGAAACAGTGACTCTATTAGACTGTCATATGCAGTTATATCCACAACCAGCAAGATCTTGAGGATAGAAACGTTTACCGTCTCTCGATTTTCGAATTTTTATAATAATAATAATAAAAGGCTGGAACCGAATAAGTAATAGTGGGGTTAGACGCAGGGTATTAAGGGATGATGGTAAATCAGTTGATAAGGTTGTGAATCTTCATCGACTAAGACGGTTGGGTCACGTGTTGCGTATGCCTGAACACCGATTACCACGACGTGCAATGCTAAACGGTGTCGGAGATGGTTGGAAGAAAGTCAGGGGCGGCCAAAACAAAACGTGGCATCAGTGCTTGATTTCACTAACTTCTAGTTTGAGCCATGTTGGTAGATGCAGACTACTTGGTTGGGGTGCGCGGCCTGCTTGAACTTCTGGGCTACCTGTTCCTGCCATCTGGATATTTCAACAAGTTATCTATTGTTGTTTGTTTTAATATATCATTATGTTTATTAATCACATAACCTATTCTGCTGCGTTTCTGAAAAGTGTACAACCTTCCGTTGTCAAAGTTACAAAAAACTCAATAAGAGACAATGTGGTTGCTGGCAATATACAGCGAAAAGAATGTACATTATTCAGATGTTCATTTACTGAACTGCTAACATCTAACCGGCTATCACTCAATATTTATCGCCAGGACCGACCAAGAAGAAAGAAACGGAAACTTGTTGAAATACTTTGCGCTGAGAATTCTATATTGTACCAAAAATATAATATTGAATAAAGCTGATGATAACAATAATGATAATAATACATGGGTGCCCAACTGTTTTCCTAGTTGTTCCTGAAATATACTCTTAGCTTGGCTCTCACTAAGTAGAGCCCTAAGAGGTTTACTTGCAGCGTCTTTCCTACGTCCAGTAAGACGCAGACAGATACGCGCTCGTACTAGAGCATGATCTGAATCTAAGCATGTGTTCCAGAATGAGCAACAGTCTCCTATCGAGCCCCTCCATCGGTGGCTGACAGCGATGTGATCTATTTGGGTCCAACTTTGGGACGAATTAGGGGGTCGCCATGTTAAAAGATGTTTTTCCTTATGCTTAAAGTTAGTATTTGCAAGGAACAGGCGGTTATCTGAAAATAGCTGCAACAGACGGTCGCCATTATCTGTTCTTTGAGCCACTACACCATAAGATCCACCCAGGTGTCTTTCCCTATCGCTTAGTTTACCTACTTGAGCATTAAAGTCACCAGCCATTATTACTACATCCGAGCGCCTAGCTTTTCAGAGAAGGTCGGAGAGCTTTCTGTAAAACTCATCTTTTACATCATCTGAGCTGCAGTCAGTGGGAGAAGAGGCAACGACGAGTGTCCCTATATTTTCGGATCCTTACTGTTCCGTTTAGCGCACAAACGACTGTCTACTGGGATCTAGTCTAAGAGAGCTAGCTCTGCCCTAGGACCTACGCCGGCGAGTCCGCGAGAAGCAGCATCTGGGCTTCCAGATACACGAAGTGTGAATCGAGTTGGGTTTTTGTTTTGACATGATGATGTCAAATGAATGACGCTACTCGGATCCTGCATGCGCGTTTCGGAGACGCAGCACACACTGCTGTCACATCCCTCTACAGTCAGCAGCACGACTTCGCCCTCAGACCATAGTTGCTGCTTTTAGTCTTACCGTTCTCCAATCGACCTGCCTGGTATGGTAGAACCTACAGCAACATATGTTCCAGTCAATATAGCTCGGTTGGGTCATCACGATAGGCAAACCCGACCACCGCGTCAAGGTTGCAGCTTCGGTCGGGGAAAGACCTTATTTGTAGATGTAACCTAACTTCACTCTTACATTGATTATCTCTAGATATACTTTATCTTAGTTGCTAATTCAAATTCTTTAACTAGCAAGTTCAGTCAGTCAGGCAGCTACAACGTAAGACCAGGCACATATATGCATCGGTCCAAGTTGCCATGCCTCATTAATACAACAAGATGGTCACCGGATTCGTAAAACTAGTTAATTCAGAGGTGGTAATATATAAAAGAAAGATTGTAATAAGGATATAGTACAGGAAGAAAGAATTAGTTGGTAGAAAGAAAGATATGAAGCGATTTTAATCTCTTAGTTTAAGGGAAGACAGAGAGTGTATACACCGACGCCATTGTGATCGATTCTGAGGCATGTCACCAAGAGTCTCCAACCATTGGTTATTATTATTATTATTATCAGCTTTATTCAATATTATATTTTTGGTACAATATAGAATTCTCAGCGCAAAGTATTTCAACAAGTTTCCGTTTCTTTCTTCTTGGTCGGTCCTGGCGATAAATATTGAGTGATAGCCGGTTAGATGTTAGCAGTTCAGTAAATGAACATCTGAATAATGTACATTCTTTTCGCTGTATATTGCCAGCAACCACATTGTCTCTTATTGAGTTTTTTGTAACTTTGACAACGGAAGGTTGTACACTTTTCAGAAACGCAGCAGAATAGGTTATGTGATTAATAAACATAATGATATATTAAAACAAACAACAATAGATAACTTGTTGAAATATCCAGATGGCAGGAACAGGTAGCCCAGATGCTCAAGCAGGCTGCCCTAATAACTGCATAGACGAGTGATATTCGTTGCTGTACTGCAATTGATAATAATCATAAAATATGAAGTCAGTGTACGTTGTCGTTCGCGTTATGACAGATGCATCGAGTTATCGCCGCCCCGATGCAGCATGGAATGATACCCGAAAAGCTGTGTAAACAGCATTGATATCTGCTAGTACGGTAAACCATAGGTTAGGGAGAAACACTGGATCTCAGCAGCATCTACCGCACTGATAGATGCTCGAAAACTCATTCCATCTGGCTCTGAACACAACGAAGAGCGGAGTCAGCTTAAGCGCAAGCTGATAAGAAGTCTACGCAATGATCGTGAACACTGGTGGGTGGCGAAAGCAAGAGAGATGGAAAAGGCAGCGGCAATATGTAATAGCAGACAACTGTTCAGACTTATTAAGGAAACCGATATTCGGAACCCGACTGTTAGCAAAACACTCTCAGAGAAAGATGGACATATTATACATTCTCAATTGGGGAGATTGGATGGATGGGCAGAACACTTTAGGGATCAGTTCAACTGGCCTTCAGCCACACTTCGATTTCTCACGATCTCCAGTCAACCTGAATAGCAAGTTAATTTAGGTCCTCCGACTCTTTACGAAGTTGAAAAAGCCATAGGAAATCTGAAGCGAGGGAGAGCAGCAGGCCCTGACAGGTTTACTCCTGAAATTTTTAAGGATGGTGGTCCAGTATTAGCAGTGAGATTGACCGAGGTCTTAGGTATAACCTGGGAACTGGACATAATCCCATCTGACTGGTCCCAATCGCTGATTGTGCCAGTCTATAAGAAAGGACAAAAGTCCTCCTGTGACAATCACAGAGGAATCAGTTTGACTAATATAGTGTCTAAAATATTAGCTTCAATAATACTTCGACGTCTAATCAAAGCTCGTGAAGAGCAGACTAGAGAAAATCAGTCTGATTTTCGACCTGGACGTGGTTGTATAGACCAGATATTCACACTACGTCAGGTTCTAGATCATAGACACACGTTCAGACGCCCCACAATGGTAGTATTTCTCGATCTTAAGGCGGCATTGGACTCTGTCGATCGTAAGGTTCTACGGCAGTGTTTTTCATTGAAAGGAGTACCAAAGAAGTACATTAACCTTATAAAGGCTCTCTACTCGAACACAACTGGTAGAGTGAGAGCTAATGGCGAATTGTCATCAGAATTGATTACCTCAAGTGGTGTTCGTCAGGGCTGCCCACTCTCTCCATTCCTGTTCAACTTTGTCGTCGACGTAGTTTTATAGATAATACTTTACTCGTCTAGATTTCCAGGGTTCGAACTTCTACCAGGAGATTCACTTGTTGACTTGGAATATGCCGATGATATAGTTCTATTTGGTGAAGACGCTGACAAAATGCAGAGTCTTCTGACTACTCTAAGCAACAATGCAAACATGTTCGGCATGCGATTCTCTCCCTCGAAATGCAAAATGTCGCTTCAGGATTGGGTTACATCGACACCCAAACTAGTGATAGGGAGTGAAGTAGTTGAGTGTGTCGACCGCTTCACTTATCTTGGAAGACTCATCAGCCCTTGTGGTCTGGTGTGTGACGAAATCTCAGCACGGATACAGAAGGCACGACTAGCTTTTGCCAACATGCGTCATTCATGGCGTAGGCGAGATATCCGTCTATCAACCAAAGGACGGGTTTACTGCGCAGCAGTTCGTCCTGTCCTACTTTATGGCAGTGAAACATGGCCGGTAAGAGTAGATGATATTCGTAGGTTACTAGTATTTGATCATAGATGTCTTCGAAGCATTGTTCGTATATCCTGGGACCACCGAGTAAGTATTACAGTTGTTAGGAAACGGGTACTAGGTAAGGATGGCAAATCGATTGATGACGTAGTGAAACTTCATCAGTTGAGATGGCTTGGACACGTGTTACGTATGCCCAACGACCGACTGCCTCGACGTGCGATGTTCAGTGGTATAGGAGTAGGTTGGAAGAAAGCTAGGGGCGGCCATACCAAAACACGTCACAAGTCCATGAAGTCACTGACAAGTGAACTGAGTCATGTTGGTAGGTGAAGACTATTCGGTTGGGATCCGCGAGATGATAGCAACCGATGGTTAGAGACCCTGAATGACATGGCTCAAAATCGTTTGCAATGGCGCAGGTGCATACACTCTTTGTGTTCTCCCGAATTTTGATCTCCTTATTCCTCCTTGTCTCTTTTTTTCTCTTCCCAAACTTATTTCACTGTATTATACTCTTTAAATAACATCTCCAAACACTAATTTTCCCGATTACTGCTTATACTCTTATTACCTCCACCAGAACGGGATTTGAATCGGCCACTAAATCTGTGTGCTAATGTGGTGTGGCAAGTCGAACTGATGTACGTACGTACAAAGTTCTACGTTGTTACTGACTGACTGACTGAAGATCTTTCTGTCAAATTAATTGCTTAATTTTAAATTTTTGGCCAATTAATCTTTATAAACGTAAGTTTGGTGGTTTTCAGAGTAAACGGTGCCCGATCTAATCTGATTGGTAAATAAGCTGATTGCCTTTTCATCAGTGCAAACAAAACTTTGGAACTTTCTAGTTATTTAACGACTGGGATAAAGTACGTACCTGTTATTGTGAAAAAAATACACTTTTGTTTGTACAAACTAATTAACACACAACTTGAACGCAAATAGTTATTTAGCGGGAAAGACCTGACATCTTCAAAACTTTACACTTTTAACAAGCAGTGATGATAAAACATCGGGTTATTAACTTATTCATTCTCTATCTCTCATTGACACGCCCTCATTCCGCTTATTTTTTTCACATATGATGATTTGGATTGAACTAGTCTTCAATAAAATGATTAGTATTCAACCAGTCTAGATATACAACTTACAGAAAATAATCATTGTTAATTATATAAATTTTGTACAACGCTAACATATGAGTGAGAACTTAGTAGCCGAACCAATTAGCTTTCATAATCATTGACTTTTAGGTTTGGATATCAAATATAAGCCTTATCTACTTCGATCTGAACTACCTACCATACATCAGGTGGTGACTTAAAACCGAATACACTTTAATTATCTAGTCGTACCGTAGAAAAAAATAAAATAACAACAAACCTTAAATAGTGTTTGAATCTCTAACATATACTAAGTAGACCTTCAACTGTATTTTTCTTACAAAAAATAATACACAAACTTACTATTGTGAACGTAACTGTTAACTGTGGAACAACAGGACCCAAGTGTTGGCGTCTCCTTATTGGGGGTCGATTTTGTTTATCGGAAAATTGATGTAAAGTGCACACAATCTGAAAATAAACAAGAAAGAAGTAACAAAATTAGGGAACGGATACATTAAACGAGCTTATAATGGTTAGTGAACAAAATGATAAAGTAGTTTTTTATGTAGTGTGTGCGGTAAAGCTTGGACTTGAGAACAAAATTCAGATATTTAAGGGATATTTTAAAGTAGTATTGTTTGTCTGGAGTATATCGCAGATTTTTACAAGTCAGTGTATTAAATCAACTTGACCTTGATACGATATATAATCTCAGTTGTTTAGGTACGACTAGTGTGTAGCTCACAACCTACTTGTGTCTATATGAATGCAAAGATGTAACATATTTAATTCAATTTGAAGTGGTTTGGATTATCCCGTTGTTTATATTTTTGATTGAAATTTGATTAGTTTTGGTCTCAGTAGTCAAGTGTATAACGCGATGTAGTTTGAAGCAAATCGTGCTGGGTTTGAGTGCCCGAGTAAACATCAAATCTGTGTTGCAGGTGCAACCAGCTAACGACTCCCAAATAGGACAAAACGCACGTTCTGGATTCCACTACCAGCCACATCCGATCTATTCTGTGTAATAAAACAATCGGTTACCTAAAAACCATTTACTTATTCTGAATATCTTGACAAAGAATGCTAATAAATATAACAGCTAAACTGATCAATTAGACTATCAATACTCCTAATTCTGTAATTTCTGGGCGCATAGTTATAAAGGTAGGTGTATAAAATAATAAAATTTTGTTAAGTTCAACACGATCGATAACTGCAAGTTAAATATGTCCCATGGTTCGGTCTGCTGATTGGTACTTTCAACACTTGTTTAATCGAATTATTTTGAGAAATAAGAGCACCATTGCTTACAAGTTACAATTGGACATATTATAGGCAATCGAAGTGTCATAAATAGTATTTATATGAGTAGTGATTTCTTGAATAGGTGAGGACGAACTTGACGAGACTAGAAATTACTCTATCAGCATAAACGTGTTTACAGTAGGAATGAAGTGATTTGACGGCTAAAGCATTCGATTTACTATTGATAAGATGTTCGAACCATGCTCCATCAACATTGATTTGGACAGACAATTAGTATCAGTAGTCCTCATAAAAGCCTTGTGGCTTAAAGACGAGGGCATACACACATGTACTTGGTTAGCAGGTTACACTGACAACGGTAAGCTTTCCATGTATGATAGCGAAGACGGAAACTATGTGATTACGTCCTTCTTTAGGATATTTTCGTTGGATCAGCTGTCACCACCTCACAACTCAGAGTTGTCCCACAATACAATAACAGATAACCATTGTTGATTTATGTCGGTAGTAAAAATAATGATAGTCAACTTACAGAATCATGATCATACCATTCATACGTTCCCTTCAATAATGTACCAGAAACAGCTGTTTTCATAACTGCTTCGGAATTGGAATTATTATTGTTATTATTTCCAACTAAACTGACATCCACAGATGATGACAAGGACTGATGTGATTTACTTAAAACTGCCACAATTGAAGATGGATCTAATGGCGCAGTGAACATGCTGATTTGATTTGATGAAACATGAAAACGTATACCACGATAATAGACAACTTTAAATACAGGTTTATAAGAAGAGCCTATTTCCGGTTCTCCTGTTCTAACATAGGTTACACGACAAAGATAACATCCTCGGAAAACATAACATTAAAAGAGGAGAAAAGAGACAAAATATCAGATTTTCACTGACATTTAATTGCAGTTTTACTGAAAGAAATACAGTACGGACAAATGTGAAGAAATGTTACAAAGCAAATTATAAAGTATTCACTATGTATACTATGTGAATCGAATGAAGGCTGGTATCAGGGAGAAATACACTTTATTAGTGTATATGGGACAATATTTAGATTTAAACTAGCGGAATATTTCATTGATGAAGATTAGTTTATCAGTAGTTTGTTTAATATCATGGGACCATCGAGTAAGTAACACAGTTGTTAGGGATCGAGTACTAGGTAAGGATAGCAAATCAATTGATGAAGTAGTGAAACTTCATCAGTTGAGATGGCTTGGACACGTGTTACGTATGCCCAACGACCGACTGCCTCGACGTGCGATGTTCAGTGGTATAGGAGTAGGTTGGAAGAAAGCTAGGGGCGGCCATACCAAAACACGTCACAAGTCCATGAAGTCACTGACAAGTGAACTGAGTCATGTTGGTAGGTGAAGACTATTCGGTTGGGATCCGCGAGATGATAGCAACCGATGGTTAGAGACCCTGAATGACATGGCTCAAAATCGTTTGCAATGGCGCAGGTGCATACACTCTTTGTGTTCTCCCGAATTTTGATCTCCTTATTCCTCCTTGTCTCTTTTTTTCTCTTCCCAAACTTATTTCACTGTATTATACTCTTTAAATAACATCTCCAAACACTAATTTTCCCGATTACTGCTTATACTCTTATTACCTCCACCAGAACGGGATTTGAATCGGCCACTAAATCTGTGTGCTAATGTGGTGTGGCAAGTCGAACTGATGTACGTACGTACGAAGTTCTACGTTGTTACTGACTGAGTTTGTTTAATTAATTTGCATATTACTATTTGGATTAAGGAATTAAGGCTACTCGTAATTCAAAAGGTTGGAGAATATTAAATTTGTCACATTCGCTGTACAACTGCTTAATAAATCTAAATAATTTTGAAATTATGGTGATGAATAGCAATAAGAGTAGCAGTTTGAATTCGGTTAGCAGGTACAAGTGCTCTATATATGCGGTTCTGAGTCATATTTAACTTATTACAACGATAAGGCTTGGATACTCATGCTGAAATTGGTGAAAAAAGAATACTTTTTGAAAGTGATTATAGAATACAGAGACTAACATGCGTGACTTGGATGTTACAAAATAGATAGAGAATAATATTAATCATAGTGAAAGACAGCATACTATTAGAAAGTGTGTGGTTTATTTTAGACTGAACAATTCTGATAAAGTTGTTAAAAGTGTGAGGCATTTTTAAAAAAAATACACGATTAGTGACTGAATATATGAACACATATAATATTAATTATGAATCGTAAGTTCATGAAATTGCCATTAGTGTAAACAAAAACCTAAACAGGTTTAGACAGATAAAGTTGGGGGGAGGATGAATGGAATAACTGCAACACTTTATACATTTTGAAAAGATAGACGCTAGATAATTGCTATAAAAGATACACTAAGCAATTTAAGTATGAAAACCCCTAATTTGCTTTTCTGTTTAGTAACTAATATCCAGCAGTATTACTGTTCCTGTGTGGTGTGTGCTACTGATGCCGATATATATAATTAGTATGTATCATCAATGGAAAGTGAAATGCCTGGCAGCAGATGGTTAAGAAGATCGAAGAGAAGAGAACGAGAACAGAGAATGACTAGTTTGGAACCGAAGGAACAATCAAGTCTGAGACAATTGATTGACATTTTGCAAATGAAGTATTTATTGTATGGATCTCAGATTTTACTAAGAGATTCTGGAATTTTGTATTCAAATACATTCAATTTTCCCCACTTGTGTTCTTGTTCATTACATCTGGTCTGTAGTGTATATTGTAAGATTGTATAATAATAAATTCATTTTCTTAAAAAAGAAATTAGTATGAACAGCCGATTTAAGTCTGCTTGCTATAACTAGTAATTGTGTAAAATGAAGTAGTGTAATCGTAATGATGACGTCTAACCTGACTCCTTAACAGACTAACAAGCGGAAGAATTGCACGAACTATTAATATTTAAAAATGTTGAACAATAATATTAGGATCTGGTAAATGTTCGATGGAAGGAATATATATGAGGTTTATATAAGCTAAGTCCAATTAAAAAAAACGAAAGACCTCAGGCAGACAAATCATACCATGATATAAAACTTGTGGTCGATAAATAGCCATTTCACGCCATGAAGTGTAATTCATTAAGGATAAATAATTAAGTTGATTATTACAACCGATATTATTATTGTCATATGTTAGCCATACTGGCCATAATTTGAAACAAATATCTCTCCATATTGAATTATCATTAGCCAACAGATAGAAACCACGACATACCTGTTGATAATTCAAAAAAGAAGTAATAAAGACGGAAGAAGTTAAAAAATAATAAAGACTAGGTTTAAACAGTATGCAATTAAATAGGTTGGAGCACACAAGGTTGGATGTAAAGTGCTTTATGTAACAGGTTATTTTTACCAACACATACCTGGATGAGTTATAATCTGCAATGAAAATCGAACATTCAGATACAATTGTGATTGAGAAATATGATTCGCCTATTGGAGTTATTAATGCTGATTATATGGCAAAGTTGAGTTTGTCAGATAAGTGGAACGAAATTATGGTGGAATTTCACAATTCTGTTTTATACCCGTTTGTGGTATTTCTTAGGTTGTGTTACGAACATTAGAAAAAAAGATTTACATCCCAGCAAACTTATACACAAAGATTATTTGAGCACTTAAATAGTAATAATTATAATAAAGGTGATTATAATTATTACGACCTTCAAGATAGTTGGTGTCAACGTATTCGCCTTAATAAGAAGCACTAGAAGTTCTTGTGTCCTGTCTTGTTTAGATTTGGTTCACGTTTATTAACTGAACAGCTGGAGGAATCTGAAGGGTTCATCTGCGCGCTTACAAAGTTTAGGAACGCTCGTATAGTCTCAGATAAAACCACCAATCAAAGGCTTATGCAAAAGCGCACCTTAAATGAAAAAAACGATGTAGAGATTACACTGAATCCCGTTGCCTCAGCAGCAGCACCCAACGATGAAAATAACCTATCTCATGTCAACCAATATTACGAAGATTGCTAACTTACCACTTATGCCCGTAGTGACCTCAGATAACCAATATATACCCAATGTAGATTTTAATCTGATATCTCCTAGTCTAACATTAGAAGTGAGTACCCAAATACCTAGTTCTAACGTAAAAGCTCTTCAAAATACTGTTAAAATTAAAGTCTATACCATGTAGGAAGAAAGTCTGTATAAAACTGTCTGGTTCCAAAACTAATACCAAAAATATTACAATTGCCCCACCATACAAAAATATATTTCCGACATCCTGTTTTACTCTACTACTCATAGGGGTGGTTATATGGAGACACTTAGCGCAAACGACGCACAAAACGGGCACCACAACCATTGTGTAAGCAGGCCTAATATCAGACAAACTTCAAGGAACCATTATGTTTCAGGATTACTCCGAAACTTTTATGTACTGAATCTGCAAGATATAACTTTTATCATCACTTCCACGATAGACAAGACGGATTAATAGGTTACACACCATTAACTGAACCCCAACGAGTACGTGAATTTCGCGACTGTCTGCCAAGTCAACTTCAGCAAATAAGTCTACCTTATCAAAATAAAGATTTTTTGGCCTTCAAAAATCCTTGATTCCTCTACCATTAGTTTGTTCAAGCTGTAACCCATATGACCAAACACCGACACTGAACCACAGTCCAGTCAACTCTAAAATACAAAACACAGATAAGGACGTTTTCGTTTTTTTACACTCTACACCTCCCTTTTTTAACTTATGAAACTTATCGACATGGTTAGCCACCAACGTCTTATAGATAAAATCGCATGTTACGGGGTCCAAAACACTCCGCTCGTTTGGTTTGGTTCCTTTTTCAGCCACAGATATCAAATAGTTAAAATTAACTTTTCCTTGTCGGACGCTGATCCTGCCAGAAGTAGTGTAACACAAAGCACTGTCTTAAACCCTTTCTCTTTTTTAGTTTATTCAATGATAGTTGTGGATGTATTTGTGCGGGTAAGCCCCTTCTGTAAGCAGATGATCTTAAAGTAGTGCATTCATTTTCTTTACCTGAGCTGAAGAATATGCAAAATTGTATAAGCATGGAGCTTAACAAGGTAGCGCAATGGTGCTTAAAATGGGAGCTGGAGCTTAACACAACTAAATGTGGATGTATATACTTCGGTAATACATCACTCGACTCGAATCTTACCATAAATTGTGAAGTGTTATCTAAGTTACATACAGTAGTAGACTTGAGACTCCTGCGATTTGTCGTTTACAGAACAGGTATTGAAACAAACCTCCTTGTCTTAACTTTTTATGGATTACATAACTCGGAACCTTTATAACAACGAGTCACGTATCTTGTTGTACAAATTTCGTGTTCGACCACTCCTAGAATATTGCATGTTCATTCTTAGTAGTGTGCACACAAAAGACAAAATTAAGGTTGGATTTAGTACATAAATGATTTACTCTTGGAATTCTTGGAACTGGTTGTAACTTGAATCTTAATTCCAGATGTAATAAACTTGGGTTCGACTCATTATGGAAAGGGAGACTCAAACTAAACATAATATGTTTCTTCAAAATACTTAATAGACTATCCTTTACATCCAATCGAGTAATTCAATATGCAGAAACTTCTAGTTACATCTGCAACTCCTTGTCATTAGTGAAACAAATCCACTTTAAATAATCTTTCTATATGAATTACTTAACATGTAAAATTTACAGGCTCTGGAATAATCTGCCATAATCCATCCGTAAGATAAAATTACTCCCATCGTTTGTTTGCTGCATTGGAGCATACTGCTCCTCTGAAAATGCATTAAATGTTCTAGCACCTGTAAATGTATCTTATTCCTTAAGTGAGATTATGGGAACTTTAAATATTCAGTCATTCTTGTTATAGAATCCACTAAGTAAGCCAACTATCTGCTGTTAAATTCCATTAACACCGGCCTTGATAACCTTAACTAATCTCAATATCTTATGAAGTGTGATCAATAAACGAACCCAACAATGACGACAGGAAATGCCCACTACCATATTAACTTTCTTTGCCCTTGTATGGCTATGCTTCGTTTATTCACCGATCATAATTTTATGTTTACCATGAACGATATAAAGTTCGTTGACTCATTTTTCCTATGCTCTAGTTACTGTTCGGTATGTTGTTTATGTCTCTTTTCCCTGTTTAATGGACTGCATAAAATTCGATAATGCAATGAGTAAAGGTTATCAGAATTATGTAGTACATTCCGAACAATCTGATAACACATATACCTGTTAAGACATTTTTATATGAAAACGAAGTGGTCAACTATTATTTATTTCAACACATAGATATTAGTGCAAGGGGGCACCAAATACATAAGCGCCACACAAATCTCATTTGATATTTGTGAGGGCTATGATACTGCCCGGGTGCTCAGACCGAAGCAGGTGGTTTTCTTAGGGGGCTACACCCGGAGCCGTCGACCTGAAGGTCTGATCCACAAGGCAGTGGAGCATCGTAAGGAGATGCAGTCCCATGGTATCCGGTGACCAACGATTGGTTCAAACACCATTTGTTCCTTCAGGATACTGGAGCTCATGTGTACCGTTGGTTTGGAATAAGGGTTTCCCAACTCCCCTAAATGAACTCTCCATGTCCACCATCCCGGTTAAAGCGCCGGACATTCGCTTTTCGTCCTCTCAATTTCGTAAACAACACCCCTGCCACGAGAAGGCAATGAGTAGGACTTCCCTGGCAGAGGCTATATACGCGTGGCCATGTGGGAGCATTTCGAGAGGGAGAGCGGACTCTCCCCACTCTCGGCCGTACCAGGGTATTTGGGAGCAAATGGTCAAGTAGGCAGGTTAAAGGTAAGCCGTAACTAAGAAAACTAAAGTACACAAAAACAATATGATAATCATCCTGTATAATAAATCAATATTTCCAGGGTAGGTTAAAGTTAAGACCAAATTGTTTTTGAACATATAAAGGGGGTTTCAGTTTCCGTATAGCTAAGGCTTTTGTACAACACTACAAATGCTGACTTGATATCAACCTTATGACCAGTCTCAACCACATTGTTTTTGTGCACCTTATTTTTTTGTTAAGGCCTACCTTTAAACCTATCTAGTTGACCATTTAGTTTTCATATAAAAATGTCCTAAAAAGTATATATGTGATCAGATCGTTCGAGATGTGTTGCGCAAATATATCACATAATTCTGATAACCTCTGTCTTCTCACTGCATTATCGAAATTTATCAAAGGGACTTAGAAAGGTTAAGTGATATTTTTACAATGATGAAAATAGACTTTTCAAACACTTACACAAGATAGAACGCCTAGAACACGTATATTTAGATGGCTGCCAATGGTCCATCGAATTATTCTCAAAAGCAGTTCGAATGGCAAAACTGATATATGTGTTGACTGAGATATAAAACAAGAGAGGAAAAAAGTAATAATAATGACTGGATTAAGATTCAATGATGTCAAATGATTTTAGAAAAAAGTCCAAAATAGCATCACACAGTTAAGTACGAATATATTCCAACGCGGTATTACAAGAGTGAGGAAACCGACTAGGAGTTTGATTTAACTTTGATCATTCAATAAACTGACTTTAAAGTTAACATTAAGATCTTTCTTATCATCACCCGAATTCGATTGAAAAAAATAGTCATCAACAAACTGGTGATTATTGACCATTGACAAATGGAGGAGTTTTCTTGGTAGATAATCATGAAAGAAGGACAGCCCAAACAAACTGCCCCCATCCTCGTGCTGGCTATGCGGTGAATGGCATTACAAGAAGTTTTGTCCATATAAAAACTACCGTTGCACTAAATGTCAGCATAAAGGACATAAGGGATCCTGCTGTAAAAGGAAAATGTGTCGTCGTCGCTCACCGCGATTTTATTCCAGGAGACATAAACCACACACTTCAACCAGCCAAGTAACGGTAGCACACATGGAAACAGAATACAGTCGACGAAAATATGCAACCATCAAGGTCGATGGTCACAGCACCCGCCTGCTTCTAACATTACACTCATCAGCCGAAAAACCTGGAAGAATGATGGAAAAACCCCGGTGCTTCCAACAACCGAGTTAGCCCACAGTACATCTGGTGGGAAATTAAATATTGTTGGAGAGGTATGCTGTGTCGTTTCAAAAGAAAATGAAAAGACGAGAGCAACATCAAATCTCACAGAACGTCCAGGACTAGATTTGCTGGGTCTAGACTTATTAGAAAAGCTACAGTTAGAAAATCACCCCATTATTCATATTTGCAGTCGAATGAGGACTGACGGACCAGTGGAGACCTTATTCAGCATGCCTAAACAAAGCACTTGAAGCCCATCAGTACCCTTTGCCTTCACCAGAAGACTTATTTGCGAAACTGAATGAGGGGGAGTATTTCGCGAAATTCTATTTATCAGAAGCTTATTTAGGATCCCAATAGCTGAAGAGTGCAAGCATTACCTGACTATAAACACACACAAAGGTTTGCTCCGATATAAGACTTCCTTTAGGAGTAAAGACAGTCCCTTCAATCTTCCAACAAGTTATGGACACTATGCTGCAAAATATTCTTGGTACTGCGGCCTATCTGGATGATATATTTATCATGGGTACGGACTAGGTTGACTTAGGGAAGGTGGATATGGTTCTCAGAGACAGCAGATTATGTTTTCAGATAACATGATGAGAAAGGTGATTTGTACGTAGAGCAAGTGAGCTATCTGAGATTTTTAGTCGATAAAAATGGAAGAAAAACTGATCCAGGAAATATCGAGGCGATCAAAACCATGCCTCCACCGACAGATGTATTCACTTTACGTTCCTTCTTGGGAATGGTTAACCATTATTGTGTTTTTTCCAGACCTGCATCGTCTGCGTGCCCCGCTCAAGTGTTTACTAACAAAGATCAGGTAAACAGAATGTCAAGCATTCCTAGAACTAAAACAGCTCCTAGCATTAAACCTACTTAAGCATTATGATCCAGCCCTTACCATTGTGATCACAGCAGATGAATCAAATTATGGAATTGGAGCAGTGACTTCACATATCTACTTAGATGGATCAAAGATAGCGGTTGCCCATGGTGCATGATTACTGACAACGACAGGAAGGAACTATAGTCAGATAGAGAAGGAAGCCCTCTCCATTATCTTTGCTGTGAAGAGGTTTCACAAGATATTACTCGGCAGACAGTTTACGTTGCTAAAAGACCACAAACCTCTACTAGTAGTTTTTGGATCTAGAAAGAGTATCCCTGTTTATACAGCAAACCGTTTACAACAATGGAAAAATATACTGATGTGTTATGATTTCAAGATAGTGTCGACCGACAACGGATTTTAGACAGGCAGATATTAGCTGAAGACTAATCGGTTCCCATGTAAAACACGAAGAAAAAGTGATTTTAGCTGCCATAGAAGCTGAGGCCGAAGTTCGCAGACGCAGTTTTCGAAATGCCGGTCACATTCGAAGCGCAAATTAACCTGAAAGCCAAGTCCTTAATATAACTTATCTCAAACGCGAATGCATAATCTACCAATAATTTTGATATTCTTTGAGAGACTGTTAGAGAAACTATTATCAGCTAATTAAGAACACTGAATAACTTTTGTTAGTGAGGAAAAATTGCATGAATGAGCTTAAACTCTTATTGTTACAGTTATACCGCGAAATAAGGATAAATACAGTATCGCAAAATATATTTATCAGTTATCTTTAGCAAAAAACAGCTATAGAGAAACTTGCATGTTTACGCAACTTCGTAAATAATCCTTAGGGTGAAAAGATAGTTATACCTCTAATTAGTTTGTAGAAAAAAAACTTCAGCTGTCATTCATCTATAAGTTACAACACTTGTAAACTTTACAAATTACACCCAACATTAATCTTTTTTTACGCCGCAACATGCTCAACAATTATTGGGAGACTATTCGTGAAACCATGTTTAGTTAGACTGTTGCTCGTCATCCCCGATTGAGACTGACTTAGAAAAATTCAAATAACTGGAGAGAACAAGTTAGTAATGAATGTGAATGGTAAATTTGTCCTACTATTTGTCTTGATTTCCTTTCAGCTAGGTGAGTCAAATATGGTGTCATTTTGCTCGAATACAAGACATATTATTGGTATTGAAATACTTACGGAGCTACATTTGTGCATCGGTTGTAGATAGAAACCATTGTACCCAGAATCGTGACGTATGCATTTTGTGAATGCATTGCACAAATTCGCTTTTTCTCTGGATATTTTGACTGTCAAGTGGAATAAAATAAAAACGTTCAGGAAATAAGAAAAAATATTTTAGCGAATTATGTGGAGTTAAAAGAAAAAACCATGTGTTTTGAACCAATAACGACAACTCCTAGTTCCGATGTGGTTTTTAAGGATATGACACTTAGCAAATACAAACGATGAACAGTATATGTTCAGACCAAGAGTTTACCTTTTTAAAACATGATACTGCGTTTCGTCATCAACACAGATCTCAGACTAGAAGTTGCAATATTTAGCACTCCAGTCGGAAACACTACTGAATGGATATCTAATTAGAATACAAACAATTGGAAGTCAAAAAATTCTTATTTTCTATTGCTGATTTCCGCATTACGAATAGTAAATAAATCAGATGTCAGAACTAAAATCCTCTAGGGAACAACGAACTAAGCAGTCGATAATACAATGGCTGGAATGGAGTTTGTGCATTGGACAAAAGTGAACTCAAGTAATAAATGATCAGTGCAGCAGTTAACAGGAAGTCTGTAAAAGAAAACTGTTCAAATCTATGGATATAAAGATCTCTATTACTTGATTATGTTCGTTTTATGATAATCATACAAGAAAATGAAGTTTAAACCCAGGGAATCGTTAATTAAGCACTGGACAAAAACGGAACTATTGTACTTTATGAAAAAGTATCAAACGAAGTAGTGAGAATGAAAACTTGGTATCTTCAACTGCATATGATAAAATCGGACCTAAAATAATGGGTTACAGTTATTGGAATTCGTTCAGTGTACTTGATATCCTTAACTAAAAGAATCGTATTTAATCTTCTGAATCTAATATCACAAAGATTTGGCCAATAATTAATGCAGTTACTGTACAACTAAACATTCCATGAGGTTTTCAGATTGAGGTTGTTGAATTTCATCGAAATTATGAGTCGATTGCTGCTAGACTATCATTGAAAACGTGGGATCTCAGGACGGCCATTTAGTCCTAGTGTGGGACTTCCGAGCAGTTGTGTTTTAATGTGACATAATGATACGATACAATCTCATTCTGCCTACTTCAAATTCGAATTCTTGATCGTGCCTTGTCAGAGTTCTAGTCTATTTGCTCCAAATGCCCTGGTACGGCCGAAAGTGGGGTGGGTTCGCCCTCCCTCTCGAAATACTCTCACGCGGCCACGCGTATACAGCCTCTGCCAGGGAAGTCCTACTCATCGCCTTCTCGTGGCACCGGTGATGTTTACGAAAATGAGAGGACGAAAAGCGAATGTCCGGCGCTTTAACCGGATCCCAAACCAATGGTGCACATGGGCTTCAGTATCCTGCGGGAACAAATGGCGTATGAACCAACCGTTGGTCACCGGCTACCATGGGACTGCATCTCCTTACGATGCTCCACTGCCTTGTGGGTTAGACCATTAGGTCAAAGGCTCGGGGAGTGGCCTCCTAAGAAAACCACCTGCTTCGGTTTGGGCACCCGGGCAGTATCACAGCCCACACACAATTAATGAACTGAACTGTCTATGATCATGGAAACTAATTCTCTTGCTTCGACGAACATTCAAATGATTCAAATATTATTATTGCTATTATTATTATTATTATTATTATTATTATTATTATTATTATTACTATTATTATTTACTATATCATTATTCACCCTTTTTTATTCCTACTCTGTCTATACGTATTTTTCGACTTATACAGCAGCTCGTCTATGGTGGAAATTCGACTCTATCTAAATGTTATCGAGTCACTGTTCGGTTGAAAATTGTGCGTTACCACTAAATATGAGTACTGAAGCAGTTTTTCTAAAACCACGTGCGCCATTCAAACTGGCTGCCTTCAACGTTCGCACACTTATGCAGGTTGGACAACAGATAGGGCTGGCTATGTCTTTGGAAAGTCTTAATATCGATGTCTGCTGTCTATCCGAGACCCGTATTCAAGACTCTGGTGAAGTACTACAAATTCGACCTCCATCTGTCTCTTCAAAAAGTTTGTTTTACGTGCGCTTATCCGGGGACCCTGTGGCATCTTCGTCTGGTCTTGCAGGCGTTGGTGTCGCACTAAGCGCTAGAGCTGAGGCAGCACTAATCGATTGAATCCCCATTAACAGTGGGTTATGTGCTGTTAGATTAGAGAGTTCCATCAAAATGAGGAGAAATCGGAGTGAGAAACGATGTTTTTTCGTCATCTCCGCCTAAGCCCCGACAGATTGCAGCCCGGATGCAATCAAGGATGAGTTTTACCACCAGTTATCTGTTCTTCTCCAGAAAGTGCGTTCGACAGATATTGTAGTACTAGCCGGAGACTTGAATGCTCAGGTCGGGCGTCTAGGCACAGAAGAGAGTCGTTTAGGTGGCCGATGGGGACTCGTTGGTTGCAGGTCAGATAACGGGGACCGTCTACTGTAACTGTGCACAGACCACAACTTGTTTCTGGCTAGCACTAACTTCCGGTACAGTCATCGCCGATGTGCCACCTGGCGTCCTCCCTCTGCATCCCAAGCATGGACTCAGATTGATCACATCGCGACCAGCTACCGCTGGCGTGGTTGTGTACAAGACTGCCGTTCCTTTCGGAGTACCTATCTGGACTCTGACCATGCCTTGGTCTGCGCCAATCTTGCCTTACTTTCCAGTGGCCAACGAAGTGACCGCCACCAACGGATTGATGTTAGCAAGCTGGTTGCAACTTGTGTTGCTAGTAAGTATCGAACCGAGCTAGTTTCTAGGCTAGCTACCATTCCACCGAAAAGTATAGATGAGCATTGATTGCAATTGCATGACGCCATGAAAATGGCGGGTACAGTCAGTTGTGGGTTCGCGAAACGTCCCGCTTATAGGCACTGGGTTTCTTCAGGCTCCTTACAACTCATTGAAACCCGTCGGTCTATTCCGGGTGACCGTGAGTTTGACCATAAACGAAGGATGTTATGTAAGGAAATTGGGCAAAGCTTGTGTAAGGACCGAGAAGCCTGGTGGTCGGAGCGTGCTAATGAGCTGGAAGCAGCAGCTTTATCTGGTCATTACCGGAAGCTCTTCCAACTCATCCGAGCCACTGGCAGCAAGAAGTCTGGTGTGAGCGAAACAATCTGCGAGGATGATGGGATGCCAATCACTAACATCCATCGACGTCTTGGACAATGGGCAGAATTTTTTGAAGGACAGTTCAACTGGCCTCCTGCTCCGGCAACATCGGTCAGACTGTCCTGCCCTCCATGGCAGGTGACGACTGATCCACCAAACGAGGAGGAAGTCCGCAAGGAACTCCAACTCTTGAAGCGCTACAAATCACCTGGCCCAGATGACTTACCTCCGGCTCTTTTTAAAGATGGTGGTGACTTTCTGACTAAGAAATTGACGACGTTATTTACAAAGGTTTGGGAACTAGAGAGTGTACCAACGTCATGGAATGAGTCGATAGTTGTCCCTATCTTTAAAAAGGGTTCACGTTGTTCCTGTAACAACTATCGGGGGATGAGTCTACTTCCGATTGCGTTCAAGCTATTGGCTTCCATCATACTTCGTAGGTTGTTCAAAATTCGAGAAAGATTGACTCGCGAGAAGCAGGCTAGCTTTCGTTCTAATCGAGGATGTATTGATCATATCTTCACCCTCCGCCAAATGTTAGAACATCGCCATACTTATCAAAGGCCAACAATCGTAGTGTTTCTTGACATCAGGGCTGCCTTCGATTCGTTGGACAGGACTGTTCTCTGGGATTGTCTATTGAAAAAGGGTGTGCCTGAGAAGTTTATTAACATCCTAAAAGCCCTATATAAAAACACCTCAGGCAGAGTGAGGGCATACAACCACCTCTCTCCATTGTTCCATTCGAGTAGCGGGGTTAGGCAGGGTTGCCCAATCTCACCATTCCTTTTCAACTTTGCCATCGATGACATTCTGGAAACAGCTCTGATGAATGTAAGTAATGGTGGTGTGGATCTGTTGCCTGGAGAAAGACTTCTCGACCTTGAGTATGCGGACGATATTGTCTTACTGTGCGATAATGCCCAAGGCATGCAATCCGCACTTAATCAGTTGGCAATCAGTGTCCGTAGGTATGGTATGTGCTTTGCACCTTCGAAGTGCAAAGTACTTCTACAAGACTGGCAGGACACCAATCCTGTACTCACCCTGGATGGTGAGCAGATAGAAGTAGTCGAGAAGTTCGTGTATCTGGGTAGCTGCATAAGTGCTGGTGGGGGTGTGAATGATGAGATCAATGCACGTATAGTGAAAGCCAGAGCGGTTTATGCCAATCTGGACCACCTTTGGCGCCTTCGTGATGTTAGTCTGGCCGTAAAAGGTCGGATCTAGAGCGCGTCGGTGAGAGCAGTCTTGCTCTATGCTTGTGAAACCTGGCCTTTCCGAGTTGAGGACGTTAGAAGACTCTCTGTGTTTGATCATCTTTCTCTCCGAAGGATTGCTGACATCCAGTGGCAACATCATGTTAGTAATGCAGAGGTTCGGCATCGTGTGTTCGGGCACAGAGATGATAATGCAACCGATGTCACCATCTTGAAACGCCGACTTCGGTGGCTTGGACATGTTCTACGAGTGTCGTCCCAGAGAATTCCACGTCGTGCATCATTTGCTGACTCTAGGACTGGTTGGAAGAATCGGAAGTGGTCAGTGCATGACATAGTGTCGTGGTATGAAAGAAAGCTGTAAAGGACTGGCTTCTGTTGGTCCTTCACGAGTCCCTGGTTGGGGTCCAAGAGATGGTGCTACACAGTGGCTAGAGACGTTATCAGATATGGCTCAGAATAGAAGCCAGTGGCGATCCTGCTGTAACCTTCTTTTACTTTCTTCATAAAAAGTGGTTGTGTCTCCCTTAACTGAAAGATTTCTTCTGATCGTACCTTTCTGTTCCCTCATTATTACTATTATTATTACTACACTACCTTACACCAACCTCTTCGTTATTGTTCCTTTTTTTCATGCTCCTTATCTTTTTCTTTCTTTCTCTTCAAATTCTCATTGTTTTGTGTGGCGCACATATATTGGCGCTTTCTTGTACCAATATTTGTGTTCAAATAAATAAATAAAACTATTTGGGATTAAAATTAATTCGTCAAACTATTTCAAATTCACACTTAGCATTGCTGTAAACAGGGATTCTAATAATCTCTTAAGGTTTTATACCTGCACGTCACTGGAAAAAGTGGAAGACCATTTAGATTACCTCAGTGCTTGGTGTTCATCACATCACTTTAGCACATTTCATAACTACTGTTTATAAAGAAGCCTACAGTTTGTTAGGGAGTTTTGTATGTACTGCTAAATCTAATCTACATCCGTTTAGTAAAATGAAAAGACTACTAACCGATCATTTTAACGTGAAAATTACAGTTCAACAAATTAGTTCGGGTTCTAAGTAAGACGATCAGAGATTTCTTACAAATGTTTCCGATGGAAGACTCTAAGTACAATCTAAGTGAACGGATAAAGATCTAAATTCGATACCGCACGATTGTTATTATACATGATCCTAAACTGTAGATGTAACTTTCACAAATTACATAAGTAAACAAACCCACTAACAGGATTCAACCTTTCCAAAAAAATCGCAAGTTACCGTTCTAAGCTTTATACATTCTCTTTTCGAAGTATTTTTATGATCGTAAGTGGGTAAATATTAAAAAGCTTTATGCGGTTCATTTTGTTACTGCACTCAACCATTGTGTTCTTAGTCGTAGTGATTTTATTACTTTTCCTCTTTGGTAAACACACAGGTAAAATTCTTCGGTTGCTCAATACTACATAGAACACCGTTCCATAACCTGCTTCGGTCTGGGCACCCGGGCAGTATCGCAGCCCACACGCAATTAATGAACTGAAATTGTGTGGCGCATATATATTTGACGCACTCCTGTACCAATATATATGTGTTCAAATAAAATAATAATAATAAACCGTTCCATAGACCTGTCATTTTGGTGTGGGTGCAATCTTCCAGATCTAGTTTCAACTATATGATCACTGATTCAAGTCCCACTTTCCCAACCAAGATTTGTGCAGCCATATACCATTATTTCCCATAGATGTGGTGTATCTCTTGGTACATAAACTTCTACAATAATGGCAGTTCACTAGTCAAAATGTTCAGTTATATATCTTTCGCTTTGCCAACTAACAAAAATCGATCGATACACACAACCGCCATTACAGCCAGTCTCAGTAACCGCAGTAGGTGATCTATCGCCGCTTTCACAGACGGCGAGCGGTAACCAGTACCTGCTAGAGATGACAGAGCATGCAACACATTGGATAGACGCCGTACCCATTCCAGACCAGTGGGCAAAGACAGTAACCGAAGTAGTAATCCGGCATACTGTAGCGTGTCACGGAATATCGACGATGATCTCGGAAGATACGCTTGTACCAACCAGTTGTTGAGCATTCTGTTCATTTGATGATTTAAACTAATTTATTACATTTCTCTTTCAAAGTATTGTTAACTAACACACTGATTACTTGTTTAGTTTTTAGGTATAGATTTCACCGATGTTGTGATTCATACAAAGAATTCATTCTCATTTCTACGGCTAATATTTGATCAGGTCTGATCTTGTAGCCTTTCCATCCGCATAACACTACTAAATACATATGTGTGAGGTTAGAAATGTAAATGGTAGACAGTTGGATTATTCTACTTCCCAGTATCACAAAACAAGACATCCCTATACCATTTGCACATCGATATTTCCAGCCCTAAAACTTTATTGTGAATTTGACATAGTTTAACGAATTACTACTAATTCCAAATAGACTAGAATTTTGACAAGAAACAATCGATAAGTCGAATTTGAACTGTTCAGCAATCTAAGTTTTAAATTAAAAACACAAACATAGCCAACGTGTGGCGGATGTGATGACAAATTAATACAGTTACTGCACAATTAAACACTTCATGTTGTTTTAGTCTGTTATAATGATATGACAATTTCATTCTGGCTGAGATAAATCCCACGAAAACTCGACTGCTGAGACTATGAATGTCAATCTGAGCCGGAGAAAGTATGAGTTGGGTTATCTAGCAGTCAATAATTAGGTGTTTAAACTGAGACAAACGACGGAAAAGGATGAACACACTTACGTATTTTATAATTCACTTCAGTAGTGAAAATCCTTCGCACAGTCAAGGATTGAGAATGAGAGACTGAATCACAGGGCTAGTGAGAAATTGCACATGTAACACAAAATTTGGGTTTAATTTCGGCAAAACTAATTCCATATTATAACCTTGGCCTTGAGTAACTAAACCTGGACTACCGAAAATGCTGATTCTACGGTATTGCTAGATAATACTACCCTACTTAATTTTTCACGGACCCGACCTTCCAATTTTGGGGGAACCCCCGAAGTCAAATGACCTTCACCCATGTTTGGGGAATCCTGGGGAAATCTCCCAAGTCAAATGACCTTGATCAAGGTTACAGGGGAATTTTGGGGATTTCCCCAAATCTGGGGAAATTTTGGGTTTCATTTCCCTAAAATTTACAATAGCGGCTTTTCCAAAATGGACCAAATTTTCCCCAAAATTGGCACCTTGGGGAGGTAACGAAATGTCAAAATACGCCTATATTTAGGGAAGTATATTCATCAAAGAAAGTCTTGTTTTAGTGAGATTTTTATTTACAAGTATATGTGAGAAGCACAGAGTCGAGATTCTGTCCACTATCTTAATGTGATTATTCATGTGAAATGAAAATATTTGAGTATAATCAAATAAGTGAGGTTTGCTTTAGTTCAAAAAAGCCTCACCGAAAAAACGTGTGAACAGCTCACATGTTTGTGCACTTACTTAGTGGGTTATGTCGATTTGATTCACTTCTACAATTACTATAGAGGGAACTGAGTGCTTCGCCATCATTATGAGTTGCACTAGGAATGGACGAGTCGGAATCTTCATCCCCATCACCCTGTTCGCCTGAGCAACAGCCTGAAGACATAACAAATACATACACCAGAAAATCTGCAGGCAGTTGTAACGTTTAACCTTTGGTAGGTTTGTACCAAGCCTGAAGGTAACTTGTGTGATGGTGTAGTGCTAGAAGTATATGAAGTAACCTGGGAGAAGAAGGGACAAGATAGATAGCGAGCCAACGACTCAACACATACAATTCACTTACATTTTATAACGAAAGCAAGTGATAATTTCATAGATAACATCAGCGCGATATTACGGCTATTTGACAACCGACATGTCGACTAAGTTTAAAAGCGCGCCAAACCTCTACCTGCGTTCTGATTGACTCTTTTGTAAGCTCTTAAATCTGCCCCATACCCCACATTCACGCGATCTGTAATGATCTGAATAGGTTTGTATAATTTGAATGACGATTGTTTGAGATCAATTATTCAGTATCCTTCTGTAATGACGAACGGTATCATATGATTAAGCGACCCTATCAAAGGCGCAATTGTGTCACTGACTGTCTAATAAAATATCGATTTTCCCTCACACGCACTGCAGCCGATTATGTCGCTGCTAGTCATATCATTTTTATGACACGAAAAATATGATTTATCTAAGTCTGGTGCAGATTACAAGCAGTTAGGCGTTGCATCACCAAACTTATGGTGGCAAATAATTCCCCAAAATAGATCGCTTTGTAAGTGTTTAAAGCAGATGCGGAACAGTTTAGTTTTACTGGATGTGTAGCGTGGCGTCGAGTTGAGATTAACTATGAACACCGCTACAGAGAAACACGTGCCAAGTTAATCAGAAGGCGAAGGTTGAACGCAACCAAATAAATTCATAAAATCCCCGAGAAGCCAAATATCAGAAGGCAGTTGATGGAACAAGTCGAGTTATATTTGCTGGCGATCTCGTGGCATCGAGAGGATACCGAGATCGTGCCAGGATACAAGCTTGGTTACAGAACGTAACCGAATTCGCGCGCAGTTACAATCGAAGTGTGTGTATAAGAATGGAAGCACAAAATAGCTGTCATTAGCACAGTCAAACAAAAGCACGTTAAAACAAACACTGGTACAGTTGGTTATAATAATAATTTTTTTATTAAACCAGTCGTGTTCTCGCGATAAATGTGAGTCACTACAGATGAACCGCTGTCTAGAGGCGTTGGCCTCATTTGCTCACACTTCCACTGGTCATGAAACGCGTCTCCTCCGATAAGTGCTCAGCTTTGAAGTAATGCTTCGCAATACATGTTTTTATAAACCGGATATATCTTTCCACATCATTATAATCAACCGTTTATCGGTTTCTCTCTTGAACACTTTGTTTGAATAAACTAGGACCCTAATGTCACCAAATTTCGTAGTTCTGGAATTTTCTGCAGACGTTAACTAAGTCGAGGGAAATCAGCAGTTAAATTTCCAGAGGAAAGATTTTTTATATTTAATTACTTTTACAACGAATAAATAGAGAAAATGAGAGAGCAAGATGATGATAGTTGAAAGGAAGTAAAAGAACTTAAGTTAGTAGTGATGAACATATAATTATAATAGACCGAAAGTGTTATGACACAGCAAAGCAAATATATTTCACCTTTATGAATTTAAATATAGCCAGTAAAAATATGAATACTAATAATATACTTCTGCATGAGCAGGTACACGCCATTTTCACAGGCGTGATCTACAAATCACAACATTTGTTGGCGCATAGCATGCTTCCCAACCTTTTAAATTTATACTTGTTATAAAGTAGACTAGTAGAGCGCTTGCTGTAAACTATGAGGTTGAGGAGACGCGTACGTCAAGTTCGTTCCAGACGTCAGAAGTTCCATAGCTGTGCCCTCAGAGCAAGATTTTGAAAAAATGAGAAACAGAAGAGTAGCAAGGCACTTGGATATGAACGCCAAACGTTGCTCAACATTTTGAAGTAGAACAGACAGAGGTATAATAAATTAGATTAAATTCATATTATTTCTTGTTAGAGTGAAATGAAGTCAGAAGCTCCATATAAAAGGATGTAGTAATAAAGAACAATGAGTCGTGATGTTTAACAAGTTGGAGTAAGCTCACATGAAGGAAGGGAAGTCAAGGTTGGTACAAGGAAGGCGGTTTATTAGAAGGGAGTATGCATGTAGAGAGTTGAAGTGTTAAGAATACTAATAACTATATCTTTTATTGTCTATTTTTTTCTTCCTTTTATTTTTTGTCCATCCGATGCCAGCCACACAATTCTAGTGTAAAATTCCGAGTTAGCATGTTATAGGTTGTCTTAGTAGAATAGCTAATCCAACATAAAATTGGAAACATGAGTCTGAATGGTGAATGTAGGAAGACAATCTATATTACAGATTGATTGACTTATTTATTCTCAATCATAAAGAGTCTGATACATACAAAATTTTCTGCCCCACAAACACGTGTGGATTGAAGTCATCGCCCTCGCCATCAGTGCTTACTGATCAGTAGCTTCACCCACCCTCCTTTTGTGAGGTTAAGCTCACTTAAACTTAATTTTGTATATATGTAATAACTCAAACAATCCTCTGTTTTTCAAATCCTGCTACTTACTTACTTACTTACGCTTGTTACTCCTAAGAGAGCATAGGCCGCCGACCAGCATTCTCCAACCAACTCTGTCCTGGGCCTTCCTTTCCAATTCCATCCAATTCTTCTTCATTTTTCTAATGTCTGTCTCCATTGCCCGGCGTAATGTGTTCTTTGGTCTTGAGGATTCCATGTGAAAGCTTGTCTTACAATGCAGTCGGGTGCTTTCCTCAATGTGTTTCCTATCCACTTTCAGCACTTCTTCCTCCGCTAGAATCTACTTTGTTCTCTCCAACAGTAGGTTGTTGCTGATAGTGTCCGGCCAACGGATCCGAAGTATTTTGCGTAGATAGCTATTAATAATAAACACTTGTGTCTTCTGGATGATGGCTTTCGTAGTTCCCCAGGTTTCCGCCCCATACAGTAGAACTGTCCTGACATTTGTGTTGAAAATCCTGACCTTGGTTTAGCTTGACAGTTGTTTCGAGTTCCAGGTGTTCTTCAGTTGTAAATATGCTGCTCTTGCTTTGCCGATCCGCGCCTTCACTCGTGCATCAGATCCATCGTGTTCATTAATGATGCTGCCCGAACATGCAGAGGTTTTTACTTCACCAGTTGGTTGGTATCATGACGTTATACATGCATGTGACGCAAACCCACACGTTATAAAAACATGTTCAGATAATGAAGTCACAGCATTAGGATACTATTGTGCTACACTGATATAATGACTAGAATATCACGTAGTTATGAGTTAAACAAGCATTCAAAATAAAGTCCGGAGCCTACTATTAAAATTAGTGCTTGATGAGCAAATATTTCTGGATCGCAGTTGGCCATATAGTGAAGCATCTACTGTCCGTTAACTCTACGAAATTCTGATATTTCAGGTTCATCTAAAAGAACACCCATTTCCTACTGGCTAATCTTAATCATCACTAACTAGTTATTCATAGTGATTTCGGGATATCGTCCAAAAACAATATCATAACTTGACAATTACGTTAATATAATTGGTAATATCGATGAAACTATTATTTATTTGATTATTTGAGCACATAAATATTGATACAAAGGAGCATCAAATACATATGCGTCACACAATAACAATGAGAATGTGAAGAGATAAAGAATGTAAAGTGCATATAGGAAAAAGGAGAGCAACAACGAACAGTAGTGTATAAGAGCGAAATAATAGTGGTAGAAGATGCAATTAAGTTAGCAAAATAACAACCAGAAGGAATGGTTACAACTGAAGAAGTTACGTTAATTTTTTAATGAAGTAAGTAAACAAAGTAACAGCACGATTGTATCAGAAGAACTGAAGACATCTGATTGATTAAGAATTTTCATATTGAATATTATTACTCTCACTGTCTTTTTGGATGGATTTGTTTCACTCAACTTCTGAACTTGTTTGTTTATATCTTTATCTTCGGACATTTCGGTTCCTCTTTGCCCGTGGTTTAGTATTTCGAAGTTTTTGCTCCAGGAATCTAAAAATTGGAAGAGCGACATTTGAGTCGATTATTTGTAATTTGCGAATAAACTTTGGTGCCTGAATTGGAGTTTGATTCTGTTGTTATTTTGGGTTCGTATGTTATACGTAGATCAACATACCGTGCTTTGATAACGAAAGAGGGCAAGACTTGGACGTTACAAAGATCGCCATCGACTTCTATTTTGAGCCGTATCTGATAACGTCTCTAGCCACTGTGTTGAACCATCTCTGGGACCACAACCAGAGAGTCATGAAGGACCGACAGAAGCCTGTCCTTTACATCTTTCTTTCATACCCCGATACCGTGTCATACACTGACCACCTCTCCGCTTTTTCCAACCAGTCCCAGCGTCGGAAAATAATTCACGACATGAAATTCTGTGGGACGACATTCGTCTAGGCCAAAATGGATTTCAAGTTCAGTTTTCCTTATTTTTCTTACTTTGCAGTTGTATTAGTTACTTTTCCACCATATTTCTTCATTTAAAGTAGACAGTTAATTCACTAAACCTGTCGATACTGTTCAACTAAACTCGGTCGCTCAGGGACATTCACTACCACCCTAAAACATCAAGAGGACCGCACAATCGACTGCCTACTACCAGTGGTCTTGCATCCATGGAGCCTGTTACCCATCAACTGGTTAGGACAACACAAAATAACATCAGAAACAAGTTAGTGTGAGTTCCTTCTTGTTTATTTTTTATTAGCTTCACACTCTTCTGTACACTATGTTGACTAGCGATAATTATTATTTCTCCACTCGTTACCTCATCTACAACTCATATACTTCTATACTTTTTCTCCTGCTTTAACAAACAGGATTTGAAAAACAGAGGATTGTTTGAGTTATTACATATATACAAAATTAAGTTTAAGTGAGCTTAACCTCACAAAAGGAGGGTGGGTGAAGCTACTGATCAGTAAGCACTGATGGCGAGGGCGATGACTTCAATCCACACGTGTTTGTGGGGCAGAAAATTTTGTATGTATCAGACTCTTTATGATTGAGAATAAATAAGTCAATCAATCTGTAATATAGATTGTCTTCCTACATTCACCATTCAGACTCATGTTTCCAATTTTATGTTGGATTAGCTATTCTACTAAGACAACCTATAACATGCTAACTCGGAATTTTACACTAGAATTGTGTGGCTGGCATCGGATGGACAAAAAATAAAAGGAAGAAAAAAATAGACAATAAAAGATATAGTTATTAGTATTCTTAACACTTCAACTCTCTACATGCATACTCCCTTCTAATAAACCGCCTTCCTTGTACCAACCTTGACTTCCCTTCCTTCATGTGAGCTTACTCCAACTTGTTAAACATCACGACTCATTGTTCTTTATTACTACATCCTTTTATATGGAGCTTCTGACTTCATTTCACTCTAACAAGAAATAATATGAATTTAATCTAATTTATTATACCTCTGTCTGTTCTACTTCAAAATGTTGAGCAACGTTTGGCGTTCATATCCAAGTGCCTTGCTACTCTTCTGTTTCTCATTTTTTCAAAATCTTGCTCTGAGGGCACAGCTATGGAACTTCTGACGTCTGGAACGAACTTGACGTACGCGTCTCCTCAACCTCATAGTTTACAGCAAGCGCTCTACTAGTCTACTTTATAACAAGTGTAAACTTAATAAGTTGTATTGTATAAATACGCTGCACAACCAGAATTCTAACACAATGATGTTGAGGTTGGAACTGGTATGCAGCGTCAACGCGATTTTGCTTTGGAAACTATTCTGAAGACTATGCTCAGTGTAGCAGCAAGGCACTTGGATATGAACGCCAAACGTTGCTTAACATTTTGAATTAGAACAGACAGAGGTATAGTAAATTAGATTAAATTCATATTATTTCTTTTTAGAGTGAAATGAAGTCAGAAGCTCCAGTAGACTTCAGTGCTTGTGTAAAGCAATGATGTCAACATGCTCGAT